TATCGGACTGGTCTGGTACTCTTTGGGTAGATGACGCCTGAATGAGGATCAGTCAGTACAAGGTCCCAGTGTCTTACTATATTCAGAGATCAGGCCTCTACTCTTGCCTGTTGCATCTAAAACAAAAGGGGGGAACTGTAGAGAGCTGCGTAGTGCCGCGCCTTGAAGATGGCGCTGGTTTTTGCCTTCCACCTCCCCATGGTGAGTGCTCTCGGTCACAAACAACTCCATATATGGCTAAGGCTAAGGATCTGGCTTGCTTCCGCGTTTCTGGACCTATCTGCATTTCCCACGTAGCGTGCTGTGGTTGGCTACCTAGAGGCTATTTAAGCTGTGGGCTGGCTTTTCCCCTGGGTCAGAAGATTGTTCAAGGTTCCTGAATAAACTGCAGTGAGAAGAGTCCAGTGTTGCGTCATCTTTGCTGGTTAAAGCGGGTGCGACATTTCTCTATTTATTTAATTTTATTTTTAACTTTTGGGTTTTTTTGAGACAGAGTTTCTCTGTGTATCTTTGGTTGTTCTGGAACTCAGTCTGTAAACCAGGTTGACCTTGAACTCACAGAAATCCACCTGCCTCTGCCTCCCAAGTGCTGAGATTAAAGGTGTGTGCTATCTACACCTGGCTACTCTATTTCCTTTCTTTAAGGCTTTTATCCTTTTTCTTTCCTCTGCCAAGCCTACATATATATTAAGCACACTGTAAACCATTTAGAGGAGTTTTTCCCATCTGAATCTGTCTTCACTGTGTATATCTATCTTTTTCTGACCCCATGAGTCTTTAATCTGCTAAACAACATGGCTAGGATTAAAGCTGGGACTTTGGTGGCTGGCTCTGCCCCATTCCTTAGCTTCCTGGGAGTCTAGTTTCACAGTGGAGGTACTGGTGGGAGCCACGTTTATTGTCACAACGGACAATGGAGTTTCTAGGTCCATGCCATCACCAAGAAGCTTGATGCTGGAAGCTCATAAACACCATCTAAGTGGTTGGTAACCATACCTCCTGAAAGAACCAGATTCTGTTCATGCCACCAGTACAAACCAGGAAGACATCTCTTAAAGCAATCATGCTTCTGCTTGTGGCCCCCAAACAGAACATATCTGAAAAAAATGCAGCAACCAAGAAGTTCTAATTGACTCCTGTTTTTGAGTCTAGAAACTTTTTTTAGTAAGCTTCCTTAGGCTTTATGTGGATGTACATTGCCAAGCGTTGGGTGCCATTATGTAAAAGGAGTTTGTGTTTTCATTTCCCAGGTGTCCAGACCCAAATAATCACACAGAAACTATATTTGTTACAATGCTACTTAGCCAATGGCTTGGGCATATTCCTAGCTAGGTCTTAAATCTTAAATTAACCCATTTCTATTAATTTATGTATCACCATGAGGCTGTGGCTTACTGGTAATGTTCTGTCATCTTTCACCTTCAGCAGCTACATGGCGCCTCTTGACTCTGCCTTGTGTGTGTGTGTGTGTGTGTGTGTGTGTGTGTGTGTGTGTGTGTTTCAGATTTCCCACCTGACTTTACTCTGTTAAGTCATTGGCTGAAATAAAAGTAACACATATACAGAAGAACATCCGACATCAAACTCCATTGTGTACAACTTCCTGTCACTTCACTGGGATCAGAGAGACTTTCCACATGGAAGTACACACATGAATAAAGAACCTGTTTTTCACCTGAATCTTGCCTCAGCACCTATTAACCAGTTTGCTCTCCCACCAGCTGCCACCAATATAGCTGAGGCTGCATTACTTTATATAACAATCATCACTTCAGAGTAAGAACAGTTTAAAGGTCAATTCAAGACATGGAGAACACAAAAGGCTCAAATTATTGACTTATTGAGATAAAAATAATTTGCCACAGTACTCAGGACACAGAACCTAGTCAAGAAACAGTGATCAGAAAACAAGGAAACTAGGAATAAAGGCTGCACAGATATCAACAATGGACAGCTGTAGGACACACCCAAACATACAAATTACTGGGTCAAGTAAGTTATTTATGCTAAAAAACATATTGAGTTGAACATAGCAGAAAATAATACATCTTTATATCTTCGTCATTGTGTAGCCCCAGCTGTCCTGAAACTTACTCTGTAGACCAGGTCGGCCTCAAACTCAGAGTTCTTCTTGCTTCTGCTTCCAGAGTGCTAGGACTAAAAGTGTGTGCCACCACCCCTTGGCTAAGATACACATTTTAACATTTAGGATGAATGCTTGACAAGTAGATCATTGTGCTTGAAATCTGGTGGAATAATTTCACGTCAGCAGCAGAAATTGCATTGTAACCCTGTATGTCAGTCAGTACAGGTGTTGTCAAAGCTCTGAGAAAACTGTCCCCAGGATAGTTTTGTCACGGAAACAGCATGAAAGAAAAAAATATGGCAGGTTGCCACAAAACATTTGCATTTGATAGGAGACCAATTGCTGAACCCACAACTGGTGGAAATGCAAAGAACAAGTGATTGTGCGGTGCACAGCCCCCCAGTAGAGAGGGTCAGCCACAGCTCCAGTACCTAAGCAAGGGGGGGGGGTGTTGTAGAGGAGGGCATGGAAAGATTGTAAGAGCCAGAGAAACAGGAAGTCTGCTGGGAAACTGCGTCACCTAGGAATGTCAGGGAAGCTACCCTCATGAAGCCATACTGAAGTGGCTGCATAAACAAGACCTGAACAAAGACAACACTAATAGACAGGCTAACGTGGAAGGAGGAAAGCTCGAGGGACCTCAATCCTGGACAAACAACTAGGGTATCTAAGGACTGTCAGCAGTGGAAGGAGGTCTTCCTCAGGGAAGAGTACACTGATTTGGTCCAATACCAAAGGGTCATCCTGAAACTGTGTACATACAAGTAACCTTATACAGACTGAACGTGTGTGTGTGTGTGTGTGTGTGTGTGTGTGTGTGTGTGTGTGTTTGTATAATAACAACAGTTTTTTAAAAAGAGGTCATTAATGTCAAAGAGTGTGGGGGTATAACTTGAGAGGAGTTGGGAAGGGGGAAATGATATAATCTTATTTTAGTAAAAGCATTGAAAAACCAAAACATTTGCATTTAGCAGAAGGGAACTATTTGAGAAAAGGAAGGTAATAAGAAAGAGACAGGCAGTCATGATGTGGCAATAAATATCTCAAAATACACAATATACTTTAATGAAAATATCTATTTTTTCATTTTTACTAACATCTATTAATTATAAAACCTAACAGATTTCATTGTAACATCTTGTGCTTGTATGTAATACTTGGGAGATGTGATTCCTAAGTTATTTAACGGTTTCAACTCCTTAGTGGGTAATGTTACTGTTAGGTTTCAAACTCAGGACAAATGGCTAATGGAGGTGCCTGTTTTAATCTGTCAAAGCAGATGCTGCTCAACAGTCTCTCTCAGCATCAGCCAACACCTCTTATAAAACCCTGACTCCTCACAGCACTTCTGACCCTGTCCCCACCCTGAATCTCTGCAGCCCCTGTGTAGGCCCATATTCTACATGGTATGGCTACCAGAATCCCAGGCCATAGTTTGCACCTGCCACAGGGAGGTGGTCACATCCCTAACAAAGGGTCAGGATGCTGTTCTGCTCCTGCTTTGTACTTTGGAGGACGTCTAGGATAGAGATGCTAATTCGGCCTACGTGACAGAGCTGGCATACAGAGCAGGAAGATAGGGAGACGTGACAAAATGGGCATAGAAAGGTGTGGTCAAAGGTGTAGATGTGACCAGAGACATTCGCCTGGTTACCTAGGAAACAGAACGCTAATGAATTTCCCCCTCAGTTTTTGTTTTGGTATAAAAGCTGTTTGGAGAATAAATGCTGGGAGAATTTTCAGGATGTGAACTCAGGATTTCATGAGGGACCACTGAGAATCTCCCTCCCGACAAAGCCCTGTGAGTTGTGTCTTTATTCCCGTGCCTCCCCTCTGGTCCGTAGAAATAATCTAGGGTCCGAGTTGGCTCCGAACTCTGACACCCCTGAGCTTAACTTCCCTTCCCCCAGCCTCCAATCTTCTGTTGGGAACAAGCAAAAAGCACCTTGTCCTAAGTGCTGCCATTTTGACTTCAGACTCCATTTTACCTGTATGATGAAGCAAAGTTCAGGTTCCCAAGCCCTAATGGAGCTGGGAACTGTCCAGCAGGTGACGCACCTCCTCCCTAAACCATCTTTAGTTCTCTAGAAACAGTGTGGCTGTTCCTAACAACAGAGGAAACAAAAGAATCTGGCTGGTTGGACTGAAAAGCTTTCATTGTTGACAATGTTGGAACATGTTGACATTAATGGAACACTCAAGGAAAGCCCATAATAATCTTTGAATTCTGATTGGTAAAAAAAAAAACTGTAACTATAGCTTGGCACAGATGTTGTGATTTTTGTGCTTAAATATTTGCTTCAACTGGCACTCCTGGCCACAGGTCAGCTATGAGTCTGTTCTGCCACTCTGACCGACCATTGTGTGTGTGTGCTGCCCTGTGTTAAATCTTGCTTTGCAGAAACCTCTTGTGTCCACTTGGGTTAATTCAGAGCCTCAAACCATAACATAACCTCAGTCATTTTGGCTACGTGGTCTCTTGGTTTCCTGGCTTGCTCCTGGCCTCTTGGCTCCTGGTAACATCTCTCGCCCTCCCTTGCCCTCCCCTCTCACAGCTTAGTTCAATCTCCTGGCCTGGTTCAGTCTGGACCCTTCCTGATGCCTCTGGGTGTTTTTTCCCTCATATCTACAATAAACCTTCTCAACCTTACCTTGGAGCAGTCATGTCTTCATTTTTTTCCATTCAGATACAAAAATTATCAGTCTCGATGGCCACTGAGGATAGACCCCCCCCCTTTTCATTGTTTACTTTGGACCTCATTTTCTGTTTGCCTGGTAACATTAAAAAAGAAGCCCTCTTTAGTAGTTAAATTACTGTATAAAGAGGTACAGGAAGTTGTATTTCATTTAATCCCAGTAAAGGAGAGTTGTTTCCTTCTAATTAAAAAGAATAAAATACAGCTTCTACCTCTGGACTGGATGGGTGGGGATATAACATCCAGATCTGCTCTGAAGGTTAAAATATTACATACCTTTGTGCTGGTCTGTGCGGTCACTGGGATTATGGTGGCATCTGGTCCTGAGCTGCTACTGAGGGCCATGTATGGGTCCATAGTCCTGCTACAACTGGGTCTGTGATGATGTCCATTGCCGGACACATGCGGTTCCTGAGATGCAGGAAGCAAACAGTTCCCTCCAGGCAACCACTGGCAGCTAAATGAGCGTATTACTTGAGGGCCAAGGAGAAAACACCTGTGTGCCCCGAGGACCACTTCTATGGCATCTGCATATGCATTAGGCAATGTTCCAGATGATTCTGGTTATAGCAGTTCTACTAGTGCACTTGTTCTTCATGTTCTTTTTCTCCTTCCACACCAGTGGCTTCTGAAAATATGGATGCACTGTATATCGGTCTTCCTGATCTGATAGAGCGGGCAAACATTGAAGCTGTAAAGCAGGTTATGGGGAAAAACTTGATTGATGAAAAAATTGGAGAAATTTGGGGAAAATGCAGAAATTGTTATTTGCCTGATTATAAAACTTGGCAAAAGAATTATACTGAAACAGAAAAGAACTTGGCTAATATGAATAAAGTTTCTGAAGAACCAAGGGCTTTAGGGTTGACTGCCTATGGCCTTATAAATCAAAATTGGAATTTGAGGAGCAACAACGGGAAGGGTACAACAATGGAGTAAAGCCCACTGAACTCTGCTTCTGTAAATTACAGATAGTTAACCTCTGAGGTGAAATCCTCAGAAGCTGTTTTATAATTAACTCAGCCAAGAATTAAGAATATAGTGGCTAGTATGGGGCTTGGGAACTGGGAAAATGTCATAATGAATGGTGATGCTCTGATTTAAAAGAATCTTTATACTTTTTGTGAACTGCTTTGCCCATGTAATGATTAACCTGTGGCAAGAAAAAAGAATTATTTTCCTTGTGTAAAATTTAAAATAAAAGACTGAAGTTTGAAGCTCAGAGTAGAAGGAGGAGGAGGAGGAGAAGAAGAGCTCGTCCTGCAGCTGATGGCCTGTTGTCTTGCATCAGAATCCTGTGTTCGTGTACTCACTTCACCTTCCAGACGTCTTGATTCGAGACCCACTTCTCTGCTGAGGCTGGTCCCCAGCAGTCCATGGCCTGTGTTAACACAGGAGTCGTTGGAACTATGCTGTGCTGAGCCGGCCCTGCCTTCACTGGCCCTTTACTGGATATTACAGCAGACAAGTTGGCCCTCCTTCTCAGGGGAGAGCTTGCCCCTACGCTCAGGAAAGATGGCCTCACCACACACCATAGGAGTGCACCTCACCTGGGAAGCACACTAGAGCTGACCCTGTGGTCAGGGATGCAGGTGACGCAGCCCTGAGGGCATGAGAGCAACATAGCAGACCCTGCACGCCTCATCTGCCATGTGATAGCATGGATGAGGGAAAGAAGTCCTCCCCTTCTGCCCCTTGCTACTTACAGCAGATGAGAGTGCTGGCCCCAGAGTCACAAGAGAGAGAACTAGCCCTGCGCCACACCAGCTACAACACACGGGAGAATGGGCCCTGCACCGCACCTGGCTAGCACACTAGAGCTGACCCTATTGTCTGGCCTCCCTGGGCACCGGGCATGCACATGATATATAGACATACATGCAGACAAAATACCCACACACACACAATAAATAATTTTTTAATCTTCAAGACAGTTGAGTCTTGATATTGAGTTCAATAATTCATAATCACAAATGAAAAGTTGAAACACGGTATGCAAAAGGGGTATTAAACACACAAAAATGTGAAGGATTGATCTTAGTTGATTTGGGGGCTTTTTGTTCATTTTTTTGTTTTTGTTTTGTTTTTGCTTTTGAGGTCCAATCTTACTATGTAGCCTTGACTGGCCTGGTACTCACTATGACTGGCCAGGCAGTCATCAAACTCACAGAGATCCTCCTGCCTCTCTCTGCCCTCTGAGCACTGGGATTAAAAGTGTGTGCCACCATGACTGACAATTTTAGTTCATTTTAAACAAATATGTATTTAAGCTCTTGTTTCATTTGTTAAGGACATACCAGTTCACAAGTACTAGGTGCATTTGCTTCCATGTGTGCATATAAGGAGCATGAGCTTCATAGCCTGGAAAGCAGAGAGGACATGAGAAATAGAAAATACAGAGCTCTAACAGTGAACTGGCAATGGTGGCTTCATAACGCTACTAAGGAGAAGGGGTAGAAGTCAGCAGTGCTCTCCAAGTGCATGACTCACCAGCCGTATGTAATAAGGAGACAGCTACCACGCAGACTGCAGCCTTCATCTCCTAGCAGATGACACCTCCAGATGGCCCTGCTAAATATAATGAGATGATAATCAGGCAAACAAAGACTTCTAATAATGCAACAGACAAATTCAGCATAAGCCTACTGATAGGATATCAGCCAGAGACGAAGCTAAGATAATGTCATCAGGGCAGACATTGAGCTGCCAGCTCCAAACATTGATGTCACCAATTAAGTTTAATTATAGACAAGGGATGTAAGGGTAATGGCTAGTGGCTTGAGTCTGGATCACCTTTGAAGTTCTTGCCTTCACTAAATTAAAAAAAAAATATTACATTTATAAGTCAGACTATTTAACCCCAGCCGCTTTGATGATTTGTGACAGGAGCTGCCAAGTAATTCCCAGTATCCAGTTTTCAATCTTCTATAGCAGATTTTTGGCCACACAGGGTGAGGGGGGCTGGGGCATGGTGCAACTGTCAGCCTGTCTTGCAGAAAACATGGCCTGGGTTCCTCTGCACCAGTGTTTTCTGGACAATGAAGTGTGAATATAGGTATTGTGTGCACCCTGACCCTTCTTCTTTTGAGCCCCAGTGGAAAGTTCTTCACCATCAAGGCACATTGATTCAGTTTGTTCTGTCGTCTCTCATTGTGGTCCAAAATGATTCACCGTCAGCCTCCACTCCACTCTCCTGAAAGAGAAGATGCAAACTCTCAGATTCCAGACTTTTCTCTCTTTTTCTCCCAGATTTTTTTTAATGATTTTATTTTTAGTTTATGTACATTGGTGTCCATGTGAGGGTGTCGGATCCCCTGAACCTGGAGTTACAAACAGTTGTGAGCTGCCATGTGGGTACTGGGAATTGAACCCAGGTCCTCTGGAAGAGTAGCCAATGCTCTTAACTGCTGAGTCATCTCTCCAACCCCTCATACTTTTAAGATTTTGTTTTTATTTTTTATTGATTTTTATTGAGCTCTACATTTTTCTCTGCTCCCCTCCCTGCCTCTCTCCTCCCCTTCAACCCTCCCTCAAGGTCCCCAAGCTCCCAGTTCACTCAGGAGATCTTGTCTTTTTCTACCTCCCATGTAGATTAGATCTATGTATGTCTCTCTTAGGGACCTCATTGTTGTCTAAGTCCTCTGCCTCTTTGGATGTCAGTGTGGCAATCTCTCAGAAAATTAGAAAACAACCTTCCTCAAGACCCAGTAATACCACTGTTGGGTATATATCCAAAGGATGCCCAATCGTGCCACAAGGACATGTGCTCAACTATGTTCATAGCAGCTTTGTTTGTCATAGCCAGGACCTGGAAACAACCTAAATGCCCCTAGACCGAAGAATGGATAGGGAAAATGTGGTACATTTACACAATGGAGTACTACACAGCAGAAAAAAATAACGACAGCTTGAATTTTGCAGGAAAATGGATGGAGCTAGAAAATATAATTTTGAGTGAGGTAACCCAGACACAGAAAGACAATTATCACATGTACTCACTCATAGGTGGTTTTTAAACATAAAGCAAAGAAAAGCAGCCCACAAATCACAATCCCAGAGAACTTAGACAACAATGAGGACCCTAAGAGAGGCATACATAGATCTAATTGTTTTATTTTTAATTATTTGTGTACTTGGGAGTGGGTATGCATGTGAGTCCAATGCCTGCAGAGTGCAGCAGAGGACTCCAGGTTCCCTGGAACTTGAGTTACAGGCAGTAGTGAGCTTCCAGGTGTGTGTGGCTGGGATATGAAAAGCAACAAGCACTCTTAAAAACGGAGCCATGTCTCCAGCCCCTAAACACTTTTATTTGCTTGGTTGTATGTGTACATGCACACACGACACATGCATACATACCTTGAAGCACATGTGGAGGTCAGAGGACAACTTGAAGGAGTCAAGAGAAAGCTCTGCTGCAGGTGCCTTTAATCCTGCAGGCCCAGCTCCCAAACTCTGAACACTGTGCTCTACTGCCCTCTGGTGGAATCATCTGCAGTTTGCTCATTGTGTAACACCATCAGCAAGACAGTCACCTGTAGAAAGGACCACCAGAGGGAGCAAGCATGAGACACCAATAGGAAGCCCAGAAACGGCAAAACCTCAGCCTTTCCTCCCCGCTAGAGCCTCTCGCCATTCCTTAGTGAAAAGAACTGAAAGTCAATACAGAACCGAGTACAGAATGACACCAGTTCCTTGTCTAAATGTCTGTATACATCATCTGCATTGTAAACTTGTTTGTTGGTTGTAACAAGGTTTCACAAAGCCAAGGGGGGCTTCCAACTTGCTATCAGGCTGGTCCTGAACTCTTGATCCTCCTGACTTCACCTCCAACGTGCTGGGATCACAGGTCATGTGGTGCTCAGCTCAAACCCAAAACCTCGTGTACGCTAGGCAAGTATCCTACCCCTGAGCTACCTCCCCAGCCCAGCATTGCAAATCTCTTGACTATGTATCCACAGACACCAGCCAGGAATCTGACACTGAGATTCAGACCAAGTCTTTAGTCTCAAAAAGAATAGTTATAATGAGGGAGGAAGAGCAAGATCAAGGGATGGTATAGCAATAACAAATAAGGAATATATCAAAACATGGAGTAGAGCAGAGCCAAAAAGAGACAAATAAAAATAAAGTAATGTGTGTGAGAGAATGCCATAATGAAGCCCAGTGCTCAGTACTAACTTTTGAAATAAATAGTTACATCAAAACATGAAAGTTGACTGATAAACAGGAGCCAGATGTGTGCAGCTTCCGGTACTGGGGGAAGCAATTGTGCTGTGTTGTGTTGTTGTGTTTTGCCACACAACAATTTTAGAGGAATGTGTTCCAGTTGTGGAGCTGCAAAGATACCCTGAATTATTAGGAAATCAGGCTATACTTAGAGTAGGACAGCCCTGGAGGCTGGAGCCACAATAGGACAGCTCAGCCCTGGAGGATAGAGCCACAGTAGTGATGTGGGATTCCCCTCTGTATGCTGTGAATACCATTGGTTAATAAAGAAGTTTGCAGCACAGAACAGGGCAAGGCGGAAGTTCCAAGCAGATAGAGGAGGAGAGAGTAGGCAGAGTCAAAGAGATGCCATGGCAAACTACGAGCCTCGTGGTAAAATATAAAGTAATAGAAATAGGTTAATTTAAGATGTAAGAACTAGCTAGAAATATACATAAGCCAATTGACGAAACAGTATTGTAATTAATACAGTTTCTGTGTGATTATTTCAGGTCTGGGCAGCCAGGAAATAAACAAGCAGCCTCCGTCTACACAATAGGATAGTTCTGGAGACTTGAGCAACAACAGGACAGTTCAGCCCTGGAGGAAGGGTGGCCTGACTTATGGAGAAGCCAGGCTACCTGAAGCTGGGTTGCGGTGGGGAATGGTCTCCCAGCAGGATATAGTAATCCTACTCCTCTCCTGGAGAGCCACTACGGCTGAGCTCTGCTCTGGTCCCTTAAGAGAATGTCCTAGCAGAGCTATCCACTTCTTCTCCGACTCCAAGATGTTACTTCTTTTGCTAACACTCTGCAGAAATGTAGTAACCTCCTCTGACTCCAGCAAAAAGTTGCTACTTTTTCTGTTCTGACTTGTTCAGTACGCCTTAGGGAGCGCCCCAGTAAGGTTCTTCTGTTCTTCTGTTCTGCTCCACCTTGCTCAGCCCCCTAAGAGAGCATCTAAGCAAGGCTTCTCAGCTGTTTCCCCTAAGTGACATCCCAGCAAGTTTCTTCTATTCTGCACCAGAATGAAGATCACCACCCAAGACTCTTTTGAGAAAGAGATTTATTGGAGGGAGGAGCCCAGGAGAGTGGTTGCCTCTGCCAGGGATGGGTAAATGGCGGCCTCTAACTGAACAGGCAGAGAGGCTTATATAGAGCTTCTTAGGGGTGGAGTTTTCCCAGGGAGAAGACGGATTGGTTAGTTTTCCATGCTAAGAGATCGGTTAGTTTAGTTGGTCAGGGGCAGAGATGGTTCTGATTTCAGGGCCAAACTTTGTTTCTTTCACTGATCCTTTTTAGCCTTTTGACTCTAATCTTAGGACCAGGGCATACTTCTTTCACTGACTCTGATTCTAGGGACAAAGCGTGTTTCTTTGGCACTGGCTTGAGAGTCAGGGCATGTTTCTTTGGTCCTGGGTTCAGGAATAAAGATGTCTCTTTCCTTGGCTCAGGTGTCAGATCCAGGGTGTTTCTTTCACCCACTCTGGGTTCAGAGTCAGGGTGCTCAGTGATTGGTTGGTTTCCCGATCCAGTTGTCCCTTTTACCCTACAACGATGTCTTTTACTATACACAGGAGATCGACAGTTATTTTCTGAGTCTCTCCATACAGGACCAAAACAGTGTACTTCTCAATGTTTTGGAACTTAAAACTGATTACTGCCTAATGAAGAGAGAATTGTCTCCAAGAGCAGGCGAGCCTGCTTCTGACCTGTTTCCAAGTCTGACCAGCTTCCCCAACCTTCATCCGCTGCCTGCGGCAAATGCTCAGATCAACAGAGCCTCTTGGGCTCAACCCCATGAAAACCAACAAGACATCCAGGAAAAATCCATGCTGCATCTTTCCTGGGTGTTGCCGGGAACACGCTGGTGCAGTAAGCAGAGCTGTCAGGAAGCTCCCACGGAGTTCATTCTCAACAGTTTAAAAGAGTCTCACACTGGAGATACAGAGGCAGAAGCAGGCATATCTCTGGGAGTCTGGAGTCAGCCTTGTCCACATGGCAAGTTCCAAAACCCTGTCTCCAAAAAATTAACTTAAAATGTAATTTGTGCCTATAATCCTAGGACTGGACAGGTTGGGTGGGAGATATCTGGTTTGAGGGTAGACTGGGTTACATGGTGAGAATATAGTCAAAATAAAAACAGAAAGAAAGAGAGAACCTGACACTTGAAATGGGATTCTCTGCTATAATCTTCAACTTCCCACACACACCCAACCTAACCCTAATACTTCATCTGAAATGAAGTGTCCTCAGCAATGTCGATATCCCTGTAACTTGTTAATTGACATTCAGGAAATATCATTTACATTTTGTCCCACACATACCCTTTCCAGCCTGCTGATCAGCAGCATCCTCGTTGTCACTTGACTTTCTTCTGCAACTGTTTCAGGACACCTTTGGCTCACTTATCCGGTAGAGAAGCCACGATTCTATACCTGCCACACGATGTCGCTGTCGAGCCAGTTCCGCAGGGCTGAGGGCTGCGGGCTGCGTGGCTATGGAGGCTCTCCTAGCTTCAGCTGGGCACACAACCTGAGCCCTGGCCCTCCCGAGCGCCCAGCCTAGTTGTCTGCCCCCAACACCCAGCGTAGCGTCATCTCCCCTCTCTCCCGCTGCACTCTACATACCCTGTCGGGGTTGGGGGGAATTGGCGGAGCAGCCTCTTGAACTACCCAGAGGTCAACAGCAGTCCCTGTAAATCCTCTGTCTTTGTCCCAGAGCAAACCCTTCCCACGCCCTTTCGGGGGAGACTGTTCTGATAATCGCAGGGCGGGTGGCCCTTTCCTGGAGGCCACACTAGATAAAGGGACCCATGGGACCTTAGGGAGGCTCGAAGGAAACGGCACCATTTCTTTCCACAGAAATGATGACACACAAGTACACATCTCTGGGAAGTAAACATACCACCTGACTAGGAAATAAAAATTAAAGACATAATCCTTGGCAACCCAGAAAGCATTCTGCAAAAGTGGAAGGGAAAGAAATACCGAATAACCACTAAGCCAGAATGTGCCGTTCTTCAAGCTACCAAGAGAAGGCAAAGAAAAATGCTCTCCCCATTTCATGTAGCCAAGCAGAAAGTTCCCCATTATATTAGATAGATGGAGATAGATAGATAGATAGATAGATAGATAGATAGATAGATAGATAGATAGATAGATAGACAGATAGATGATAGATACATACATACATATGTACATGATAGATGATTGATAGATAGATAGATAGATAGATAGATAGATAGATAGATAGATAGATAGATAGATAGAAACAATGAAGACTTAACAACCTTGTCTTCACACAGAGTTCATCCATTCAAGCCTGGTGGTAACAGTGGACACCTGTGTTTAATAATTTTCCTTGTTCAAATGAAAATCCCACTTTCCCTGTTAATAAGACAACAGGTAGGCAGAAAGGTAGGTCTGCCATTTTTGGAGCCAGGCCCATCAGAAGTCAGGCTAGGCTGCTGTGACAGGAACTAGACAATAGGGCACTGGTTTCCCTGCTGGTGACCTTTCAAAGGATGCTTCAGGGGATCTGGTGGGACACTTCTGGGGAGCAGAGCTGAAGAAGGGCTTGTTTTGCTTCCCAAAGGATTTACAAACATTTCCCAGGGGCAGGTGAGAGAGACTCTGCGGATGACCGGGCTACTGCCAGGAAGGTTATAAGAGGGAGCTGGGGAAAGCTCTTCGCATTGCAACAGGCATGAGTAAGAACTTCCCTCACTCAGCCTTCCCCTTCCCTCTCCTGACACTGAACTCAAGGGAGGAAAGACACCAACCACAGTGCCACTGCCCACTGGAAATCTGTCCCCAAGAAATCCAGGCCTTTGCCGAGCTGGCTAGAATATGCTGGAGGAGAGACAAATTTAGATATTGAGCTTCTTAAAGTAGTTTCTGGTTTCAGTCAGTTTTTTTAAAAGAAGAGTTCTCAAACATATAAGAGAATTGAGAGAATAGTCTAATGGACACCCATCTAGTAGCCACTCAGACTTGAAAGATGTCAGCAGTATTCAGACTCCAGGGTGTTCACCATTACCCGAAAGGTCATGATGGAGAAGCCAGACAGGAAGGAATCGGAGAGGGAGCGTGAGAATGATGGAGATGCAGGTGCAATGTGTCTGTCTGTCTGTCTCCATCAATATCCATGTGCATGGTGCCCCATGATCCTCTCAGATATCAAAATCCATGGATGTACAATGTTTAGAGTACATAGAACCCATTCAGCATATCTTCCCATATACTTTAAATCATTTTTGAATTACACTATATAATATAGTGTGAATGCTATGCCATCATTTTTGTCTTATGCAGAGGGTCTCACTGCATACCTTGACTGGCCTGGCACTCTAAAAGCATGCACCACCACAGCCTATGTTCATAATTTTTTAAGACAGGGTCTCTATATGACCCTGACAGTCCTGGAACTCACTATGCAGAACAGGCTGACCTCAGATTCATAGAGGTCCACCTGCTTCTCACAACAACAAATGTAATTTGTTAAAGTATCTTTGAAGTGAGATTAGTGCAGTTCTTCTCAGCCCACGGATCTCGACCCCTTTGGGGTCAAACAACCCTTCCACAGGAGCCACATATCGGATATTTACATGATTCGTAACAGTAGCAAAATCATAGTTATGAAGTAGCAACGAAAATAATTTTGTGGTTGGGGGTCACCACAACATGAGGAACTGAATTAAAGGGTTGCAGCATTAGGAAGGCTGAGAACCACTGGGTTAACAGAATAGAGGCTTCCAGAGCTGCAGGTGCAGAGGGCCAGCTGTCCATAGTTTTGCTGAAGCACTTGAAAGCTAGCCAAAATAAGCCCAACTCGAAAGACAAACATCAAATGTCTCGTCTCATGCATGGACGCTAGACTAAAAAAAGATATGAAAGGAAGAAGGCTATTTGTGAGGAGGGAGGAAAACAGTGGGGAAGTGGAGGTGGGATCTGAGAGGGTCCTGAGGGCATGAGTGATCAGAATACGTTGCAGACATGTATGAAAATGTCATGATGAAGGTATCATGTTGTAAAACTCACAGGCGAACAAAGCTGGGTGTGGTAGCACATTCCTACGTGGGGAAGCCAAGGACAGCAGGATCTAGTCAAGGCCAGCTCAGCAGTCATCTGGTCCCATCAGTGAATCCCAACATCTACTCCATCTACGAGCTTCTGGACCTCGAGGAGGGGGTCAGGGTTGCAGAACCAGATCCAGAAGCATACCATTAGTACCAAAGTTGAACACCTGAAGCGTGGCTGTGGTCAAAGAAGTCTCGGTGATGGTCTGGTATGTATGGTGCTTCAGAGAACAAGAGGCCTTGAGCCAGACCAATGATTCGTGCCATTGAATATTTGCCTGTAGAGCTGTGTGGGCCGAAAATATATGCAGTAACAAGCTGCAGTTTCCAATACCACTGCAACAAATGAGTTTGTGAGGGAGGGGTGGGAAGGATGGAGGAACAGAGCAGTGTCGGTGAGGTGGAGAGAGGCTGAACCATTTCAGTGTCTGCAGCCTGAGCTACCGCCAAGAGACCATGTGGATGTGCATGGTCTGTACTCCTGCATGAGGCCATGCTGATGTCTGGGATCCCTGATGCTGATGCTGATGCTGGGGGCCACGTTTGGGTCTGTGGTCCTGCTACATCCCAGGAACGGGTTGATGTCCATGACCCATGTTAGCACCAAAGATCATATGAATGTCCATGACCTGTGCTGCCATCTTCATGCCTGTGGGCCAGGCTGCCACTGGAGACTATGCTGAGATCCACGGCACATGCTGATGCCAGAAGCCAGGTAGGTAATGTGTCTTTGGTCCACGCTGTTGCCAGATATCACGTGGAAGTCTATGATCCATGTTCTTACTGACTATAAACGACAAGGAAGCTTCTTCTGCAGTTATATGAATAACTTCAGACTCACAGCTGAGACAGACTTTGAAGCCTTCTGTGATAACTCCCACCCCCATTCAAGTAAGGGATCCACCTAGACAGGAAGTCATTTAAGAAAACTCTTTAAAAATGTGGTAAGGATGCTCTCCACAATAGATGGCTACAAGAGTAGGGTGGGGAAGGACTCACTTTTCTTTAAGGGGCGGGCCATAGGAAGTTTGGCCATGCTCTAGTGACTATGTGAACAACACAAATTGAACTTATTTTTGCTTGTTTTGTTTTTTTAATCTTTTTTTTTTTTTTTGGTGGGGAGGCCACAAGGACTGGGAGACAGACCTCCTAGGACTCTCCTCCCAGGTAAGGGTGATGGGGTGTATTATGTGAAATTCTCAAATAATCAATAAAAGATATTAGGTTAAAGTAATCATCATTAGCAGCAGCAGGCAGGCAATTGGAAAACAACAGAAATACAGTAAATTCTGGAAGACATTCATTTTTTTAAAAAGACATTGTGACATCATGGCTAAACCCTCGATGTGCACCTCTGAACTAACTTAACTCTAATGAATGGACTCAGAGTCGCTCACAGCTGAGGTAATAAAGCTGCACTCCTGAAATGCTCTCAAGAGAGGAAGAAGCAACAGAGCAAATGCAAGCACGGGCTGGGGTGATTTCCTGCTTGGTGCCCTACAAAGTCCAACCAACTAAACAAACCACTTTCATAAAGATAAGATAATGCCGTAAGGACAGCAGCCTTGAAGAAGAAAAAAACATGGCAGGGAGAAGATGAGGAAGTGAGGTACCTAGGAGCTAAGGGTAAGGAGGAAGAGCAGGCGACATCTGAGCTCACTTGGACGACAGAGAAAACCAGAGAACACAATCCAGAGAATGGCCTATGAGGTCAAAACCCTGGAGTCAGAAAAGAGCCCGGAGTGACGGTTCGTTAGGAAGGTGTGGTGGAAGGTGCTGGGAGAGGAGAGGTGATCAGGGCCAAGGGAAGGGGTTGGGGAGGGGGGATTTTAAGCAGAAATTGACCTGACTTAGTTTCTTGGGTACCTTGGATGCCAGGTTGAAAAAGACATGGTGAGCAAAATACTCCCAAAGCAGATGAACACTTGGAGTAAAATGGCAGGATGTGAAATACGCACACAAAAGTCAGTTACCTTCCTGCGCACCAACAACAAATATGTCCGAAAGAAACGAGGGGAACAATTCCATTTACAATAGTCACAAAGATAAAATAGCTAGGGAGAAAGTCTAACCAAGGAAAACAAAGGGCACGGTGACGGAAGCCTTAGGTGCTCATGGAAGACACTGGAGAGGACCTACTGTGCCCATGGGTCAAAAGAATTAATATTGTGAACATGGCTGACCTACCAAAGCCATCTACCGGCTCACTGAAACCAAATTTCCAGGGCCATTCTCATCAGTCATGTAAAAACAATCTTAGAATGTATCTGGAATCACAAAAGACCAAACAGTCAAAGCAATCCTAGACAACAGCAAAAAAATGTGTTAGAGGTATCGCCATAGCTGACTTCAAGTTATGCTCTTGAGCCGTATAACCAAACGGTATAAAACTGGTTCAAAATCAATGTAATAAGTAGAGTAGAATAGACACAGGCCACAGATGAGTCCATACAACTACAGTTACCCGATTTCTGGCAGATACGCCAAAATATATATATTAGAGGAAAAAACAGCCTCTTCAACAAATGGTACTGGAAAAACTGGATATCAGCATGTAAGATAATGAAACCAGATCCTTACTTCCCACCCTGTACAAAACTCAGGCCCCAAGGACTGGGGAGATGGCTCAGTGGTTGAGAGCAATTGCTGTTTTGGCAGAGG